CTGGCTCGCTCCAATCACTTCCTATTACTCAGGGTCTCGTTTCCGGAATGCTCTTCTCTTGACCAACAGTCCGTGCTGTCTTTAAAAGTGTAGAAACACAGAGTCGGCCATGTGTCGGCTCAACAAGTGAAAAGCAGAAAGATGTATACTTAAGAAGAAAAAAAAAAAGTAGTAATATATAAAGCGAGCTGTATATAGGCTTAAACTTCCGGGTCACTAGCCACCAAACGGAAGTGGATTTGTTGGGGGGGGAAGTAGTGGCGTCGCGTTGCCCCGGGCGATGAGGTAAAGGGTGAGTCTTTGCCAGAATGGGAGGGGCCTGATTGCTCCCAGCCAATGGAGACGCAGTGGCCTCGAGGCGGCGTTGGCTAGGGTCTGGAGAAAGGCGGGGTTAGTGTTGCCAGAGTAACCGGATCATTGGTCGTGTTGTCTTCCTGTCTAGAGATAACCATTTCCTGTGCTGAGATCCACAAACTATGGTGAGTGTTACAGGGTCCCCGAAGAAAGGCTCTGGGCCCTAGTTACGGAACCCCCAAATTTCTGGGCGGTTGGGCACTCGGAGGCGACCGCATGCCTTTCTTCTTCACCTCCTCACCTCGCCGCGCGCAGTTCCTTCTGTCCCCGCTTCCCCTTTTTGCTTGCAGCACCCTAACTCCCACTTCAGCGCCACTGAAACCTCAACCTAGAGTAACGTAACTGAAAGTAAAGGGGAAAGATTTGAAATCCAAGAGCACCCGATGAGGATTATTCCGAATAAGCAATTAATAAGTTTGCATTGTTCATCTTTTTGCATTTCTCAAGCGTGCAGCCTCATACCGACGAGGTGGTGCCTCAACACTGACGGAATCCGAGTCTCCCTGAACACTGGAGTCTTTTCTCACAAGTGGCCGAGCTCTGCCTTGCATCGCCTACCAAGACCGTTTGATAATAGATGTCTGCTGGCTCAGCTTCTAGTTAACTGCATACTCTCCAGGTCTCTGTGTTTTAGCAGGTATGTGTTTCAAGATTACTTGGAGAGCTTCTAGAATTCACGAGCATCACCATAAATTGTGACTGAATAGGAATGGGGCTTGATGATTTGCTTTTTAAATAAGCCTCTGGATGACTGAATTCACCCACTGCTTCACTTCTCGGAGTTCTGCTTAATTCATCTTCAGTCTTCCCAGCACTTGAGGATGATAGACTGGACATAGCAAAATATTGCCTTCAGATGGGTGTAGCTATGACTTAGCGAGAGACACCCCCACATCTCATAGCTGCTAGCAGTCCTTTTTGTTACCTGTGGAGACCTTTTCAAACCTTTACTTCACAGAACCTATCCCTCTTCATCTTTTCTCCTTTCTAGGCAGTTGGCGGAATCTTCTAGGGAAGGTGTTCAGTATCAGATGCCAGCTAACCAATGCTTTTGTCCATTCTGTAGCCATGCATTTCTACTTTAGAGAAGGGAGTGTCAAGAGATCGTTCACCTGGCTTTGCTCTAATTTCACTTGCTGTCATCTATGGTGCCCATCTATGCCACAAAATAGCATTTGATCTGGTGTGTGTGTGTGTGTGTGTGTGTGTGTGTGTGTGTGTGTCGTGTATACTGATTATTATGAAGAGTTCATTTCTCACTGTGACTCATGAGCCACGGAAGTCAAAACATGGTGTACTTTGAGGAGTGATATACCTAAGGGAAGAAAAGTGGAACTCTCCAGGCATGAAGATTTATCTTATTCTTCGTTAACCCAGGGATGGTGCTCTTACTATTTGTCTGAGAAACAGTGAGATGTTTTTAGAGGAGGGGAAGCTAGATGCTCCATCTCTCTGTGCGTGCAGGCTAGGCACAGGCGAATAGATGTGTTCTTACATGTGGCAAAGGCTAAGGGTCTCTGTGGAGGACGAGGTTGTTCACTTTGCTGTGTGCCTTTCTCATTACTCCAATTGAACTATATAACCAGTGTTGGAGGGTAGCTAACATGATGAAGTTGTCTTGCAACCCTGAGGACCAGAAATGCACATGGAAAAATAAGCTAGACATGGTGGCATGTGCTTGTAATCCCAGCACTGGAGAGGCAGAGACAGGTGAACTGGTAAGCCAGCCTACCCTACTTGGTACTTGGTAAGTTCCAGGCCTGTCAAAAACAGACAATAACAAGCCTGACTTCTATCCTTGGGACCCACGTGCTGGAGGAGAGAACCATCTCTCTTAAGTTGTCCTGTGATATTCACACATTCACTATAGAGAAGTATAAAAACCATTTTTAAAAAGGTGGGTGGTACCTGAGTAATGCTACCCAAGGATATCTTGTCTTCCACACACATATGCATACACGTTAATTGTTAATTGTGTACTTATATACTCATACTTAAACACACACATACAATGAGTCCTAGGCCAGCCAGAGTGCTATAGTCAGCGTCTCCACACACACACACACACACACACACACACACACACACACACACACACACGCATGCGCGCGCACGAGACAGAGAGAGAGAGAGAGAGACAGAGACAGAGAGACAGAGACAGAGAAAGAGAGTCTACTCATAGAGATAGACACATACAGAGAGACAGAGAGAGAAGAGAAAGAGTGTAGAGACACACAGAGAGGAGAGAGTCTACATGCACACACATACACTCAGAGACACACACACACAGAGACAGGGAGAGGAGAGAGAGAGTCTACATATAGAGACAGACATACCTACACTTACAGAGAGACAGAGAGAGAGTCCACACAGAGACAGACACACCCACACAGACAGAGAAGAGAAAGAGTCCACACACAGAGACAGACAGACAGACAGACAGACACACACGCGCACACACACGCACACACACAGACACACAGAGGAGAGTCTCTACACACACAGTCTACACACACATACACACACACAGAGAGACACACAGAGGAAAGAAAGAAGAAATTAAATAGTTTGAAGGTATGACAATATGACATGCATTCAAAAAAGGTCGTCACAAAGATGTGATTTTCAAGCTGAGATTTTGGTAATAGAAAAGAGGTAGATCCAGAGGGTGGATCTAGAATATTCCATTCTGAACAGAGGCAAATTAGTGCAGAGGTACGTTAGAGAACGTGGACAAAAAGAGGATTGGAGAAGGTGGGTAGGAACCCAAAATACTGAACTACATGGAGCTTGGAAAGAATTTTAGATTTTATTTTGGATATACTAGCATAATGTGTCATATATTTTATCTATTCCATCATTATTTTTTTTTTTTTACATCGGCTCTACCTTTAAATTTCAGCAATATTAGTTTGAGCTAAGAGTGACATTTTTTTTTTTTCTCTATCTGTAACACTATTGAAGTTTTCTGGAAAATACTTTTCTTCTCTTCCCTTTGAAGATCCGAGTGTCCTAGTTTCTCTCCTTATAACTGCTGTTTTATAACTTGGTTGTCCCTTTCTGGCTGTTTTTTGTGTGGTGAGTGTGAGCGGTGGGTGTTGAGGTGTGGTTTTCTCAGAGGCTTTTCTGCTGTCTTTCTTGATGGTGCAGCAGCAAATGACTTGTGTATTGTCTAGAAATATCCTTTACTTTCAATGAGGTAAATCTCCATTGCTTTCTGCAAACATTATCTAAATGACTTCATTTCTAAAAACTGGCTATTTTAAGGTCTTCTGTTTCTTTTACTTGCCTATTAAGCTATTGTTATCTCTATTGTCATCTTGCATTCTATTTAAGGCACATTTCTTTATTCTTTATATGTGCTTCTCTATGCCTGGGGAATGGCTGTAGACCTCTGTGATGTTTTTAAATTTAATTTAATCCTTATCCATAGACAATATATTCAGATTAAATATACATATGTATGTATATACATACATACACACACACATATATACATATATATGTATATACATGTTATGTATAAAACAGCTTCTTCTGCTGTAGAAATATGGCAAACTATTGTATACAACCACTGTTATTATGATGAACACCCAAGACAATACTTAAGTATGTGTGTACATGTGTATATGTGATTCTACCATATATATTGTTTTTTAATATGTATTTTCTTAATCTTGTATGTTTTTTTCTGGATTAGTTTTAAGAATTACATTTTATATTTTCGTTTTCTCTGGTTGAATCAACCCACATATTAATTTGTTGTGTTATTACTCTATATAGTAAGAAATTACCAGTACGGAGTCAGGTAGAAATATAAGGGTATTTAATAGGAGAAGGCGTGGCTACAGCTTCCCCTACAATTCCCCTTTTAGTCTGAAAGAGGATTAAAACTTAACAGTATAAAGGTAAAATATAAGAAGATAACTATTTATTTTAACTAAAACCTAAAGTCATAAACAATAGGAAGCTATTCCTAACTAGGTATATACATTATCCTAAGTGACAACAATGGGGAAAGGGGGCGTAGCATTTTTCAAGTTACTTCCTGTTGAAATGGGACGATGATAGTCAAGAGAAACCGAAACCGAAAACGCAGTCCCCCTACTCACTCTGACCACGCCCTCACAAGCCCTCAGGTACTCTTGTAGCCAGCCCCTAAGAAGGCGTGGCTACAGCTTCCCCTACAACTCCATATGACACATTTTACACACATCCATTATTTCTTTAGAATAAATGAGAAAGGTAATAACTGAGGGGTCATGTGCATTTTTAAGATTTTGATATGTTGCCAAATTACCCCCAGAAAAGATTCACCAATTTGCACTCTGCTAGCAGAATGCCAAGGTTCCTGTTTCTCTAACACTCAGAACTGGCGTTTCCACTCATTAGATACATACATCTATCATTACAGACATACATCTATCTTTACAGACACACATCTGTCTTTACAGACATGCATCTAATTATAGATTTGATCTTTTACTAAGAAGGCCTCTTTCTTTTCTTAGAATATTGAAAAAGATCACAAATTGCTGCATGTCATACAAATGAAAGTAACTGTTAACATTTACCTATAATATTTTTCTGTAATTGTTTTCCCATAATCTCTCATAAAGTGTTAAAATTTGAAATGTATTGTCTGTTTATAATGAAGAAGCTAGAAGCTGGCTTAAAAACCCTCTACTCATGCAAAAGTTACCTAGTCCTCCCTTGGCTGGCTGTTTGGAAGAAGCAGCTTGTTGCAGGCTCTGATCAGAGCTAGAGCTGAAGTTTCCCAGTCTTTACTGCAGTCCTGGCTTCAGCAGCTACCAACCAGGCGTTGGGATCGTTTGGGGCCATTGTTTTCTCATCTTATAAAATCAGAAAGCTACTTCTTACTCAGATTACCTTAAGGCACTTTAATGAGGATCAAATAGTGAATGTTTATAAATATTCGTAAACTGTACTGTACTGTTCATATGAAATAATATCGTTTTCATCATAACCAGACTACTCCCTAACCAGAAGATATTTGGGAGAAATGGAAAGAGGTTAAAATATAATATGAGCTTCAGAAATAACCCTGAAGTTAACAGTATTCTTGTCCACTTTTACACTTGAGAAATTTACTTTTGTATGTTAAGTTCGTTTTTCTTCAAGTTGTCTTATACCTTCATTTTCTTGATGGAAGCAGTTAGAGGCTGAGAAATAGGAGGACTTGGTCTTGAGTTCAGTTTTAAGAGCCCACGTGGTCCAGTAGATGACCACACACCCATGAGTCTATGGGTACCAAAGATTGGACTTGGTGTGCTACTAAAAGAAAAAGGACCTGAAGGGGTTGAGAAGGGGTGGGGAGATGGAGGGTGGATCTGGGAGGGGTTAGAGGGAAGAATGAATATGATCAATATTCATTGTACGAAATTCTCCAAGAATTAATCAAAATATATTTTAAAAGAACCTGTTTGGCTGCTGAGCATTGGTGGCAACGCACGCCTTTAATCCCAGCACTTGGGAGGCAGAGGCAGGCAGATTCTAGGTTTGAGGCTAGCCAGATCTACAATAATGAGTTCCAGGACAGCTAGGGCTACACAGGAAAACCCTGTCTTGAAAAAAACAGAACCTATTTGATTTTGGGAGATGAGCTGCTAACATTTATTCAGGTATTGCGTCTGATATCTGGATTTCTACTCAGTTTAAATGGATTAATTGTGAATATTGTTTCTGTAACTTGTAGTTCTTTGATTTTGATTTTTGGTGATAGTTGATCATGAAAACACAATTGGAGCATTCAGACCTCATCAGTTCCTTGCTGTTTATGGCTTTAAGAAATATGGCTTTAAGAAAATTAAAATCCCTCCATCCTGTGGCAAGTCCAGCTCTATTGTTTTGTGTTAATCATCTTTTTTGTTAAGTAACTTACTGCATTTTACCATGTGCATCTAAATTTTTAAAAGATAATTATATTTCTTTAATATCTGAATACTTTTCATAATTGTTTTTATGCAAAGAGAGTGTGGCTTCTTAAGAGCGTTATTGATTTTTTTGTTGTTGATTTTCAATATCCTTCATGCACATGTCACTGAAATAGAAAATGAACTTGGAACAGTTCATTAGGAATGAGCACTGGGCATTGGCTCCTCAACTCCCTGCTTTTCTGTTGAATCCTTGCAGTGTAACACACTCATGACATACAAAGATAAGACTAACGTGTTTTTGTTTTTGTTTTTTTGGGTTTTTTGTTTGTTTGTTTGTTTTTTGAGACAGGGCTTCTTTGTGTAACAGCTCTCTGTGTCCTGGAACTTGATTTGTAGAACAGGCTGGCCTTGAACTCACTGAGATCTGCCTGCCTCTGCCTCCTGAGTGCTTGGATGAAAGGTGTGTGCCACAACCACCTGACTAAGACTAACTTTTTAAAAGCAGAAATAATTTATATCACTATCTCGAAGGCGCTCACAGCCTGAGTCTTATTTTAACAGACTAGAAGAGACTTCCAGTTTTCTTGTTTGTAAAATGAGGTTGATAAAAACATTAGCCTCATTATAGAGCTATTGTTATAGTTAAATGACATGATGTTTACCCTAATGCTTTATGTACTGTAAGCATATTAATCTTAGCTGTTGTTGCTGCTGTTTATCTTTTATTACATTTGTTTTTGATGATTTCATACATATACATATATGTATATATTGCTTTCTGATTGTTGTCAATGTTCACCCTCTTTTGTCTCCCTCCTACCATAATTACTAGCCATCCTAGTCCCCTTCTACATTTATGTTTTTTTGTTTTGCTTTGTGAACCACTGGGTTGAACAAGAGCCATCTATGCGACTATGAATTTGTAACTATCCATTAGAGCTTGATGGGCTCATCAGTGGGTAAATAACTGAAGGCAACATCTGGCTTTCCCCCAGAATTTATCAGTAGACCATAGTTCATCAGTGGGAAGTAGGGCCACTTTGGGCCTCTACCTCATCTGACAGGCCCAGTCTGTTCAAACCCGTTTGGATGTGAGACAATGATTGAATCATGCTCATAACAGTGTTTCGTAGCATTTTCACTGTATTTGGGCTTTTACATTTTTTTTCTGTGCCTGTTCAGCCAGTCTTAAAGGAGGTGGTGTGAATGCCCCATTTAGGGTGGAGCACTTTACTGTCACTTATTTTTAGTATTTTGAGCAGCCGTACATCTCTGCATTCACCAGTGTTCATTACAATAGATATTCCTCTGATTAAGAATGAGAGTAGCATTTGTCTATGGGCATACATATAAGTATTTAAAAGACTACTTGGCACTCAATTTAGCTAACCAACAATAATAAGTCCTCCCCCTCTTCCATGGGTTAACTGGGTTTACAGTACCAGACATGAATTCCTTCTTGGCAGGCAGGCCTGGAAATTAATCGGAGTACTTGGTTGCCACTATGATGGTTGTGCCATTGTTGTAGTGACGAGCACGTCTTGCCTAGCAGGTTGGTATTGTAGTCCACAGGGTCATCATCTGGGTATTGATGGTCACTGATGCCTTTTCTTCCTCAGCAGCCTGCACTGCATCATCTGGCAGTATGAAAGCTGGTCAGCAGGGAAGAAGCTTACAGCCCAGTTCCAGTTTGGCTACTCTGTATCTTGCACCCAAGGTGTGTGATGTCTTCAGCAATAGTTTTATCAACTAATTCTGATGGACAATCAAGAGGAATGACAAGAGCCTGTATTGTGTAGGGGGCCTCTGGGATCTCTCTGACCAACAACATAAAAGGAAGTATCCCATATTTGGCATGAGATTTTTGTTTAATAATCTATGGCTATTAGACACAAGTTTCTACTGTTTTGTTATTAATACTTATTAATTCTTAATACTTATTATTCTACTGTTTTGTTATTAATACTTAATAAGTATTGTTAATACTTATTAAGATAGATTTCCAATACTGAGAAATACAGAGGAGAGACTAATCACTATGACATGATGTTAATTATTTGTTTATTGTTTTTTCCAGTGATGGAGCCCAAACCCAGCACCTTGTACTTGCTAGGCAAGCCCTCTACTGCTGAGCTAAATCCCCAACCCAAGAAATGTTAATTAAAAATAGCAAAATTAGCTAACTTTATAGCTTTTCTGAGTTATTTTTATTCAGTGAGCTTTCTGCTTTCTTTAACATATGAATATGTATAAATCCAAAATGAAATTTAATGCATTTTGATGGCAACATCAGTTCCCTAAATTTGCCAGCAGATTAGGCAGTAGGAAGCCATGCCATTATGGTTCGTTGTTAGAGTTCAGCTTTGTTACCTGTACACATAAGTGTGTAACACACTTGCTTTCTCTCTTCTCTATTAATTTTTCTCATTGACTCCTTTTTTATGAGTTATGAGTATAAAAATGCAGACTTTATTAGAAAGTACTTTTGTATGTCATCTATTTAATAGGTGCATATTATCTCTTTATAAACATACTTTTTTTTTTTTTTGAGACCAAGTTTGTGCTTTTTAGATTTACATGTGTTCCAGCCAGCCTTGCTTTTTCCCTTTACCTGCAATGCTCCTTTTTTCCCTCCATACCTGTGCTCAAATGGCACCTCAGGAGTGGGACTTCCTTGTCCACCCTTCTAGAGCAGCAGCCCTTGCTGATCTCCATCCTGCTTCCTTTCTTCATCTTTTTTTTTTTTTTCATTTTAGTGCCTGATAAAAAAACATTGCAAGGCTGCAGGTTTTCAAAAATTTATTTTTCAAAATAAATAATGATAGTGTTTGGAATTTTTAAATTTTTCTCTTTTATGACAACTAAGAGTTTTAAGTCACACACACACACACACACACACACACACACACACACACACCCGTCTCTGGAGGTCTCTATTATATGTACAGAGAAGATAATTCTGCACTGTTGGGAGGTAGAAAGGATGAACATTCTAAGAATGCTGTAAGAAGGTAGTTGAGAAGAAAAGAAATTGACTTCCTATGCATATCCTCACTAGTCATTTGCTACAGAACTACTTTTTTGTCAAGGCCTACCCAGTACTGTATAGAAATCTAGAATTCTAGATCAAAAGGAGTGGATGTTTATTCTGAGAGAAGTCTGGCTTTATTCATTCCCAATCACAGTTAAATTTCTACTATGTGACACTCACTGTTCTAGACAACCTCTAAACCCTTAAGGAACTAAAAAGGCAAAGTTTGGAGAGATACACAATTTTAGACAAAAAGTTTATGATATGATATGATATGGTATGATAAGCAGTATTGCCAATTATGAGAAATGAAAATGATACATAAGGTTGTAGAGTGAGGACTATAGAAAGAACTGGTCAATGGATAATCATAGAAGCCCCTCCACATTGACTTGAATGAACTGATGATGTAGCATCCTTTAGGATCCCTAGAAGGAGAATGGGCTAGTCAGAGAGAATTGTCTGTGTAAAGATCTTGAGGTAGTAACTTTATATGGACTGAGCAGGTTGTATGTATATGTTTAAGAACACACACACATATCTAACTAAAGAAAAAGAGGCCATGAATTTGAAAGAGAGCGAGGGGGGTGGCACACAGGAGGAGGGTTCACAGAGAGGAAAGGGAAGGGGAAAATGATGCAGTTATAATGTCAAAAATAAAAACATTAAAAGCAAAAAGATCATAGAGTGGGTGAGAGGGTTTATCTAGGATCCAGTCAGGCCACTCCACCGGAGCCAGCCAGAGGAACAGGATGGTAGCACACGTGAAGAGGGCTGGGGCTGGGGAAGTAACCCCAGTGTGACAGTGGCGTTGTAGTGCTTTGGAATGGAGAGACTGAGCTTTTGGAATTCCAACCATTCTGGAACCCAAATTGTCACCTAATGCTTGGTAGACTATGAGCTCCAAATTGTGACTAGCAACAGGCCCATAAAAAAATACGAAGGGGGGTGGGAGAGATGGCTTATCGGTTAAGGGTACTGGCTGCCCTTCCGGATGACACAGGTTCACTTTCCAGCACCCATATGACAGCTCACAACCATCTGTAGCTCCAGTTTCATGGGATCACAAGCCCTCTGCTGGTCTCCACAGGCCCTACATGCATATGTCGCAGGGACATACATCATATAGGCAAGACACCCATACACATGAAATTACAGTAAATAAAATAAAAAACTGTATGTAGGCACATGGATGAAATTGGCTGATAATTTTTAAAAACCTGTTCATGATCTGCTAATCTAGTCTATCCACAAATTTAAAGATAAATTAAGCAGCAGCATACTTAAAGGAAGTATGTATTCTGTATCATTGTAGCATTTCTACTTGCTTGGGGTGTACACATCTGTGTGTGTGCTCAGCTGACCCCATACTGAATTAGTTCTAGTTTCTCCACTAAGGAAAGGAGTTAAAATCTTTAGTCAGCCACAAATAAATAAATGAATAAATAAATAAATTAAACCATCTATCCAAGCAATGCTAGATGGGCTCAGCATGTTGCATTTATATTTATATTTTGTATCTCTGTGTGTGAATATTATATATATATATATATATAGTGTGTGTGTGGAGGGGGAATATAATAATAATTAAAGAAAAATGGGTCATGAATTTGATGGGTGGAATATGGGAAGGTGAATTTATGTAATTATATTTTAATTGGCTTTAAAAAGAAGCTTTAGTCAGTGCAAGGCCAGCAAGTGCCCACTTCAGTTGTTTTACTGTCCCCTTCTCCCATGCTCTAGTTCCCTTTTTAATTCCTCTTTTACTTTTAATATCCTGTGTCTATAGAGGTAAGAAAGACATCCAGAGTGAAAAGATGAGAGAGGAATAGACATTAAAAGTCCAGGATCAGAAAGAAATAGAAGTGTCTGCCCCTTCCAGTCACCCCTGCCCTCTCTGAGATCCCCATGCCCTTTCTAGCATGCCAGCACTTGGGAGGTAGAGGCAGGTGGATCTCAGTGAGTTTGAGGCCAGCCAGGGCTGTTTCACAGAGAAACCCTGTCTCAAAAAATAACGTTAGAGCCCTTTCCAGGAGCTTGATGTGATTAAGACAAGAGATGAAAAATTATTGTACACAACATACACTTAAATCTTTTTAATCTCATGAGGAAGTTATACTTGAAATATCTAATAGAAGTTTTTTGTTTTCTTCTCATATATTTGATTTAGGTGTCATTCCTCTCCCATGACAGTGGATGTTTGAACCTGTTAATTTTATCAGTGACTTAAAAAAACAAGGCTTCTGACTTGCTTTAGGATGATTAGTCCTTTTTTGTTTTGTTTTGTTTTTTCGAAACAGGGTTTCTCTGTGTAGCTTTGGAGCCTATCCTGGCACTCACTCTGGAGACCAGGCTGGCCTGGAACTCACAGAGATCCACCTGCCTCTGCCTCCCAAGTGTTGGGATTAAAGGTGTGCCACCAACGACCGGCAGTCCTTTTTTAATGTACAGGATTAGAATGGTTGACCCGACCTGGCATGAAGAGGATATATTAAACCTAAAAGACAAACCCTTTAATGTATGAATTGGAATGGGAGGGAACCTGTTGCTGTCAGTTATTGTCTGTGGGCTGATGAAAGCTGAAATATTCTTATAGCTCTTCTTGTAATAACGTCCTGGCTGGGTGTAGTGGCACACACCTTTAATCCCAGCACTAAGGAGCCAAAGGTAGACAGATCTCTGTGAGTTCCAAGCCAGCCTGGTCTACGGAGTGAGTTCTAGAACAGCCAGAGCTGTTACACAGAGAAAACCTGCCTAGGAAAACAAACAAACAAAAATCCAAAAAACCCAAGAATTTCTTGGGGTTTGTGAATACTCATGGTGACAAAGCACTATCATGACAAGGCCCAGGTTGAAGATTTTCTTGTTTTTTGTTTGTTTGTTTGTTTTGTTGTTGTTCTGTTTTTATCTTAGAGCTCTGCCATAGTCAGAGCCAAGATGTTTAAGTTTTTTTTTTTCTAATTCTAGAGAATGACTCTCTTCAGCTTCCATGTAGCTGTAAAAAGATGCTTTAACCTAATTCTTAAAAACCTTCCATTTCTAGAAGATATGAGTGGCACACACAGTTCTTTTTACAGAGTCATGATTCACTTGGTGTCCATTGAGTGGTCACTGTATTTATTTATTAAGATTTAACTCCTAAGGGAAGGATTGACTTGAGGTGTGTACCAGATAAAGTGTCGTGTAACCATAGTGAACACTAGGTGGCGCTCCTCCGTCACAGGATGATGTCCTCTCTGGCTCCTAGTCGGTGTTTATTAGTTTTAGTCATATTTGTGTGACAATCGGATGCCATCCTTGTAGAAATCAGGAGTGCACACCACCACAGATTGTCTCATGAAGTGAAAGATAAACTTGTCTTCTCAAGTTAAAGAGAGAAACAATGTAAGTAATGAATTCTCTTGGATTAAACTTGAAAATAGCATTTTTGAAGTCTGTTATGCTACCAAATGCTTGACTTACTAAAACAATGAATAAGGCTTTAACATAAAATAATATCTGAGTTAATGAGACAATATAGGCAAATGCATGGAAGAAAATACTATCCCAATCTGAGCCTCTTCAGGTATACCTGATGATCAGTGTCATTACCACTTGCTGGTCTACACAGGCCGTGGTCACTGTATAGAAGGATAGAAGGGTGTTCGTGCATACAGCCACTTGACCCCTGCCGACTTACCATCGAC